CCTTCTTTCCTTGTTCTCTCCTTCTCCCTTCCTAGATTCCTCCCTTTCTTCTTTCTTCGTCTTTTCTGTTTTCTTATTTTGATATTGGGTGCTGAGCCCAGAACCGCATGCAACTGAACAAGTAAGTAGTCTGCCTCTGAGCTACACCCCCAGCTTGGTGGGGAAGTCTCTTTTCCAAGGTCATTAACTTCATTCTCAAAGACCTTATGACCTAGATATTTTACAAAATATAAATAAATATATTTATTTATATAAATAAATATATATATATTTATAAAATATAAATTAGGATAACATGATTCCTAATGTTATCATAGTGGGGGATTTTTTTTAACAGGATTGAGATTTATATCATTCTTGTTCCTTCTTCCCAATGTATATAAAAAGGTGAACTTAGAGCCATCTTCTACATTGGCTTGACTCTGTTTGTAGCTGTGCTTCTACTTTCTCCATGGGGAAAGAGGTGCTGGATGGCAGCCTCCCCTTGTTTTCAGCAATGTGACACGGTGCCCTTTTCACTGCTACTCTCAACAACCCAGGTCTAGGAAGATCAACTCTGTACAGAGCATTTTCAGAGCATGGCCAACTGATATGCCATTCGAAGTGATCACTTTGCAGTGTGTGGGACATAGTGAATGGCTGGTCAGTTATGAACAATGAACGAGGAGTCAATCTGGGTTCTGTTGTTAGTGTTTAGTTCATGACATTCGAAACACAACTCTGCTTCTGTGCAGCCATTCAACCAGCCCCTGCAGTAATCGCAGAATGTTAGAGAGAGTGTTCCTATATTTAAGGAGATTTCTCCTTTTTTCAGTAATTCTTCTTTAAGATTCCTCTCAGCTGGGCAGTGGGGGCACACACATTTAATACCAGCACTTGGGAGGCAGAGGCAGGTAGATCTCTGTGAGTTCAAGGCCAGCCTGGTCAACAGAAGAAGTTCCTGGACAACCAGGGCTACACAGAGAAACCTGTCAGGGGGAAAAAAAAAGATTCCTTTCAATATGTTAGGTACTATTGATGACAAGTGCTTCACACATGTTAATTTGTCTGAAACATTTTAAGCAAGATATCATCAAAGAAAATAAAATTTGTAAATAGTGACACATTTATTCATTTGGATTTGGCAATTAATTATCTATAAAAGATTGAAATTTCCATTTAAACAACAAAAGTCCTGCTACAGTAAGGTGACACACGTTGTGGTAACATCTCGTTATCAACAATCTGGACACAAATTCTAGATTTCAGACGTCATGTAGTAAATATCCACTGGAATACATAGGATTTGGGGTAGTTTGTTTTCTTATGGATTTTGACAATCATCTGCAGAGCAAGATAGAAATTCATGGCTTCAAGGCACATGACAAATGAATAACAAAGTCTTTTTTATGTAAAATATGTGAGTCATGCAATTATAGTTAAGAATCAATCTTTGCTGGAAGAGGTTTGCTTGGAGTATAGAAGCTTCCATAAATATTAATCAAAGGATTATGATGATGATTTTTGTTAAAAAAAGCGGCTAAAAATTTCTGATCACTTATGTTAACTATTTTGTGTGTGTAGTGTAGTGTAGTGTCTTACTCTTTAACCCCGTCTGGCCTTGACATCAGAACCTTTAACTCTCATTAAAATGTCCCCAGTCTTGCCACTTCAAAAACCTTCCTCATCTTTAAATTTACAAGGAAAACAAGACTTGAAGATTAAAATGTATGCTTCATCCCAAATTACAAAACTGTCATTCACTTAATCTCTTCCATTCTTCATGGGCAGAGAACATATTCCATTGCGATTTTCAGAAGAAAAAAGGAGCCGCGCATTTTCACTCTCTCGGAGAGCCGTTCTGACTTTGTTCGCTCCGGGTCAGTTTTTATATTCCCCATGAAGTTTTTTCTTCCCCTTAGGAACGTGGTTCAGAGAAAATGGCGACTTGATATTTAGCCGATCCCTCTCAGCCTCCTCTTCCTCATCGTATCTTTCGTCCTCGTCTTCGTCTTCCACATCACTGCTCTGAGGACTGGAGGTCTGAGATCCCGACGGAGAAGGGGGTACTGAGGAGGGCCTGGGGTACCTAAACCCATCCGTCTGCCGAAGACAAATAAGACACACAAGTTAAAAAAGACTTCCAGCGGGGTCGGAGAGATGGCTCAGGTAAGAGCACTGGCTGCTCTTCCAGGGGTCCTGTGTGCAACCACGTGGGTGTGCTCACAACCCTCCGTAATGAGATCTGGTGCCCTCTTCTGGCCTACAGGCATGCATGCAGGCAGAACACAGCACATAATAAATTAAAGACTTACTGTCCTGAAACTCATAATGTAGATGAGGCTGACTTCAAACTCACAGAGATCCACCTGCCTCTGCCTCCAGAGTACTGGGATTAAAGGCATGTTGCCACCACACCTGGGTGGTTTTCTATTTATAAACATAATTGTCTTTTTAAGATTTTAATTATGTGTGTGTGTGTTTGTCTACAAGTATGTGCCATACACATGATTTATCTTTTTCCAAATCACCTTAGGTTTATTATCATCCAAACACATGTTCAGGCACACACACACACACACACACACACACACACACACACACACACCCCACACATTGCTAACAGATCCCAGATGTGACCATCAGATTTCCTGGTCCTAAATTAACAGGCCATTACTCCATAAGTAGTGCTGACAACTGAAATCAGATCTTCGGAAAATGCAGCAAGTACTCTTAACAGCTGAGTCACCTCCCCAGCCCTGACTTCTTGATTTTCAATGACACAGACAGTATAAATACTAATTGAATTGTTTTTAGGTAGTCTACTGTGATCCTTCAAGAGCTTAGGAACTTTGACTCTGGTACTATCAGTGTTAAAATAGACTCATTAAACGTGATTATCTTTGACTAAGCACTAAAATATACCAAGTACTATACATACTGTCTATAATAATTGTACATAATCATATAATGTATCATTTAATATTTTAACATTATCCACATAAATTCTTCCTGCTTCCTCTCTGAGAAAAAGAGAGAAATAGCAAATGACGTGCAGAAGCCATTGCAAAGTTTGGTGCTGGTCTGTGACAAGCCTAAGTCTTTCTTTAGTTTCAATGGCCATACACATTACTCTGTCTTCTTGCAGAGCTTTCAGAAAGTTCCAGGACACGGGCAGCTCAACAGGCCACCAACAGACACAACTATATAAAATCCTGTGGCTGGGTGACCTCACGGATTCTCGAGATTGTACCAATTGCACCATTACAGTTGGTGGGAAGGCACCACAAGGCTTTAGTGACACTGCCCAGATGTGTCCAATCATTAAGAAGCTCTCTTGGCAAACACATGCTGAGCACCAGCTGTGCTGTTGTCATGGATCACAATGTCACCAAAGGCATAGCTCACTCCCAGGTGGGAGGGGGGCTCTCATTCTCTTGCCTCCAAGTATATAAGCCTGACATGTGCTAATAAAGTCGACATTTACCCTTTGGGCAAGTGATCCGGTCTCTCTGTGTGTGTCTGTTCAACTCCTAGGATATTGATCCAGACTTGTGGTCCGGTACAGGAAGCGCGCCCTGTATTGGGTGTGGGGATTCTCAGAAAAGCGCGGGACAGAGGGGACATTTAGGGGAATCCTCCTGCCTCCTCTAGGGGCTAATCCTTCCTTCTACATCTTCTCTGGAAATCTGAGCTGGGCGGGCTTGTTGCTATATTATTAAAGTTGTTTTAGTAAGAATGATTCCTGCCTGAGATTTTTACTCAGAGTGCAACTGGATTTGAGGGATTTGTAGCTTCTTGATGGGGATGGATAGTGTGTGTGGTGGGGTGATAAAGTTGCTGACTCTTGATACTGAGCATATCGTGAAAACTTGTGTACATTTGCTCAAAAGATACTTCTTCAGGACACAAAGCCTGTTTGTTTGTTTGTTTGTTTGTTAAGGCAGGCTTGCTCCATGTTGCTTAGGTTGATTTTAAACTCACAAATTCAAATGACCCTCATGACTCAGCTTCCTGAGTAACCGGTACTATATGTCCATGTCCCTAGGTTATCTTATATACAACAGTGATTCCGATGCGTCCAACATGCCATCCATGGGCTACATGAGGCCAACAGGGATGGCTATTAATGTGGCCCAACACAAAACTACAAATATTTTCTAAAAGGGTAAGGTTTTCTTTGTGGTTGTTTAAAAAGTATGTTAACTTGATTGTACAGTTCTTGTGTGAACTTTGTACACAACAGCACAGTATTGCAATATCAAAACATTGGATACATCTAGATCTCAACTTCTCACTCTGAGCCTGTCCTTGGATGTATGCAAAGTTAAAAATATGTAGTCCTCGGATCAGTGTGTAGATTCCAGCAAGGATGGATCATGCCAAAGAGAAATGCCTGGGTCTACACTGCCTTCAGGTGTGCCCTCTTCTCTCTCTTTAGAACAGAGCACCTGTGAACTACGATGCTTTCACTGATAGAGATGTCTAATTGGTTGTTAGAAGAAAACTCCTTTGGGCTGTGATGAATGGAACAAAACCACTCTTAGGGTCCAATTCCCCCTCTGAACTTGAATTTGCTCTATTTCATTCTTGCCAAATGGTCATTCTATATTTAAACACTTCCTTGGATAGCAAATCTACGTCCTGCTAAGTCAACCCACTCTATTGTTGAGTAACTGTCAGGAAAATGAGAACCTAGCAGCGACCCCCAAGCATCAAAGCAGAGAGAGTTGTAATGAAGAGATATGCCTCCGATGATATGAATCAGCCATCTAGGCTTGTGAGCCTCTATTCTTCACTGTTCCCACACCATAAAAGGTGTACTACTGGTATATTTAGCTACTTACGGATTCAAAGGTCTTGTTAAAACTGCCAAATAAGAAATGTCATTTTTTTTGTAAAAAGCATACACTACGTTAAATACTTACCGCTGGAGGTGAGGTGGGCTCCAGATGGAATTTGTCTGGAAAAGCTCTGCTCAGAGTCATGTGTCTGGCATGCTGGTAATACTGTCAAAACAAAGCCAGTTCGCATGTTCTGAACACATGAGGTATTTCAGTAACCAAGTAAGGGCATAAGGTCCTGTCTTCCTAAGCCTGGGAAATCTGTCTCCATCCATATCAACTGCTATTTAAAACTGTACTTTTTGTGTGATATTTGACCATATCAGACATTGTGTTGACCAATAGCTTGTTATATATTTGAAGCTGGGGAAACTATGTGTCCCAAATTGAGAATAAATAAAAAAAAACTGACCATCTATGGTTTTATTACCTGTCAATATACATGTCCAGAAATACCACAAAACATTGTGGGAGATTAGTTGTGTTAGCCATGCTGAGATCTGGTTTGAATGTAAACATGACTGAAAATTACTTTCATTCTTCTTGTCTAGACATATTGGACACTAATCCTGCCCAGACCCAGATAAGGAACAGAACTAAGGCCCTGGCCTTCCTGCTCTTGGTTCAAATGAGGGAGTAGCATTAACTACTTAGGTTATCCTGAGTACCAGCATTATTGGATATAGATACTCAGCAGATAGCTGCACCGATTCTTGACCAGGAGAATTCAATAATATGCAAAAAACCATATTACAGGAAAGCTAAGGTACTTTGTTTAGTATTAAATCACTCAGTTTTAGGCTATAATATCTAGATGATTGCACACCTATGGAACAAGTGAGTGGAGGCTTTGCCTGTACTTAATGCATTCACAGATAGTGTCCTTTCCACCTGCATCAGAGAAGGATATGACTGCATCATCTGTGGAGAGAAAAACAACTAAGGTCTTTGCTCTTGATGTTTTCTCAACTCCATAAAGCACTTCTGCATGACTGTTAGGCATCAAATAAGTGCATGCTGGGTTCATGCTACATCCTGAAAGATGTGATGTCATGGATATCTAAACCCAGGAAGACTTGGGTCTATAGCTTTGAGGACTCTCATTTTGTCAAAAGGTATAGGGACACACCCTGAGATTTCAGTACTCATGGTACTAGTTTAGTTTACAGATGGGGACTAGAGGCAAGGTTTTCATTGGGTGATATGATCTCAGAGAGCTCTGCCTGGCTCCCGAGGAGCTTTCTTACTCTGCCTAGATATCTCCAGTCCAGAAGATCGGAAAGCCTTTCTGTGCGATTCCTCTGGATGATTCTTTGACGGCGTGACTGTTTGCAAAACCCATAGAGAAACTGAGTCAGTTGATTACAAGAATCATCTGGAGATCGGAAGCGCCTGTCGACGATGTAAATACCTGCAGAACACACACAGAGATCAAAACAACTTCCATTTTATCAATGTAAATACCTGGAGAACACTCACACAGATCAAAACACGACATCTAACTTACTGCCTAGGTTCCACCAAAGACCACAACTTGCCCATCATCAGAACCTGCCTAAGCTACCACTCCCACTTTATTTTCCCCTCTTCTAAGGTTCTGTATTTTCTACGATCTTCTAATTATTAAAAACCATCATCAACCTTCTGCAACCATAACAAATCTTACCTTAAAAATTATATCTAGCCCTCTGGATCAGTAATTCTCTAGGAATTGCTGCTAACCAGAAACAAAGGATGGAACCTATGTTAGCTTCCCTTTTCCCCACTCCGTGTTCCTATTAACAACCTCACTGAGAACTACCAGAGGAGAGCTGCCTCCTGCAGACTCAAGGCACAGGCAGAGAACCCATCCTGGTCTTGTTGCTATGCAACATGAGCAGATACACAGTGAAATGCAAATTGTCCTACAGTCTTTAAAAAGTGATTTTTTTTCTACCATGACATGGATCTTTAAAAGAATAAATGTGTTCTCTATAGAGTCGCTGATATGCATATTCCCAGACCATAGTCACTGTCTTATTGCTCCTAGGACTTAAGGGGAAAAATCCTATTACCACCATCAAAAAATAAGTTAAAGGCAAAGTTTGTCCAAGTTCCACCCTTCTGCAATTCTTCTTGAGAGCAAAATATTCAGTATTAAGAACACTCTTCCCTATTGATCTTCTACTTAAATCTACTTTTAATGAAATGAAAAATATAAACTTTAATTTCATTACAGGACAGCTTTAGCATTAGACCCTGTGAAGACCCTGAGGACACAATGAAAGAAAAAAAATCTCACCATACGCAGTAGGGTCAGCCACATGTTCTTGCATGAAACAGCCAAAGCCAGAGAGGTTTGTCGTCACACTCGGGATGCCCATCACCGTGCATTCGGCTGCGAGAGAATGGACAAAGGAGGAGCTGCAGACCCCTCTCAATCCCCACCTTCACGTGGAGGAGAAAGAGCCCTATTTTCTAGGGGTAGATTGTTACTCCCTGCCCTGCATAGTATAGACCATTTATCTGCACTTGTAACACAGGTAATATTTGCAACCGTTCCATGAAGTGATGCTGACTTCATCCTTCTCTGACAGGTGAAGAAATTAAAACATGGGGGTTGATGTCACTTGGCCTCTCTATAGAATTGGGGGACATGGAAGAACTGGGCCTGAAGTGAGCCATCCAGTCTGCGAGTTCTTGCTGGGACCCGCTGTGTTTTACTGGCTGAGCCCAGCTGCCTGTTTTCTGGTTGACTTTTCTTCCATTGTGAGCTTGTGACTCTGCTTGTGACTTTAAGGGGGAGGGTGTGGGCTTGGACACAGCCAGGTTTTCCCCTACTGTAATCTCTTCTGCACACAACCCTGCTACTCTCTTAGAGGTCCAGGAAATTCATGATCTCTTTCAGACTTCCCTCACCTTTGAATTAAAACCTGTTTCCTCCAATCTAAGCTATCTCTAAAAATATCTTTCTCTCAAAGATAGCTAGGTTTTTCTTTGTTCATTTGTGTGTGAGAGTGTGAACCTATGTGTGTGTACATTCATGTGTGGATGCCCAAGGCTGGTGTCAAAGAAATTTCCTCAATTGCTCTTACACCTTACTCATTTAGGCAAGGTCTCTCAATCAAATCATAACTGGTATAGCTGGTATAACTTGCCAGCTTGCTCTGGGAACCCCCTTCCTACTTCCTCTGAGACTGGAATCACAGGCTTATTGCCACTTCCATGAGGCATTTGGTGGGTTTTGGGGTTCTGAATGCTGATCCTCATGCTAACATTCCAAGTCCTTTAACTCTTAAGCCATCTCCTTATCCAAACATCTACGTTTTAAACAAGTAATATACATTTGTGGGGTTAAGGAAATATCCTTGGTTCTTGTGTGGAGATGTGTGCAAAAGTTGTGTCATTATGTGTCGTGTGGTGTGGTTCAGTTTAGATCACGGCTTTGTCTCCTCTGCTTGTGAGTATTTCCTCCTGACTCAGTTCTGCACTCACACAGCAGTGCTTTTTACTTTTAGGGAGGTAGCAGAAGGGGAATAGATGAGGACTACCAACTTCTTTAACATCTGCCGAAAATTTTGGGACTCCTCCCAGGAATAATTTATATAGCTACATAAACACAAATTTTTGTCTAAAAATGTCATGAGATTTCAAAAACCCTTATTTTCATTTTCATTCAGTAATTCACCAGTATATTTTGTAGTAAAAGCCAGGAAACCATGGAAACTCAATGTATATAACTATTGCTAACTATTGCTGTCCTAAACATCATGACTGCAAGCATTTGGGGAAGAAAAGGTTTTTTTCACCTTAGGTCTCACAGTCCATTGGTGTAGGAGGTTCTTCTTTCTATGTGTTGCTTTCATTGGTTGAATAAAGAGACTGCCTTGGCCTTTTGATAGGGCAGAAATTTAGGTGGGCAGAGTAGACAGAACAGAATGTTGGGAAGTAGGGCACTGTGGCAGATGCCATGAATCTCTGGCCTGAGATGGATGTAGGTTAGAATCTTGCCAGTAAGTCACAGTCATGTGGTGATACACAGATTTAATAGAAATGGGTTAATCAAGATATGAGAGTTAGCCAATAAGAGCCTAGAACTAATGGGCCAGGGGGTAATTTAATTAATACAATTTTGGTGTGGTTATTTCGGGGGCTAAGTTAGCCGGGCGGCTGGGAGCCAGGCAGCGGAACGCAGCCCGCTCTTCCTTAGGTAATACTATATCCTCTTACTACAGTCCATCCTGAAGGGCAGTCAGGGCAGAAACTCAGGGAGGCACCTGGAGGCAGGAACTGAAGCAGAAGCCATGGAGCAACATTGCTTACTGACTTGCTCCCCATGGCTTTCTCAGCCTTCACAGACCCAACTGTGAAAGACTGACACCACGCACAGTGGGCTGGATGCTCCCACATCGATCATTAACCAAGAAAATGCCCCAAAGATCTGTTTACAGGCCAATCTAAAGGAGGTATTTTCTCAATACAGGTCAATCTAATGAAGGCATTTTCTAAATACAGGTCAATCTGATGGAGGAACTTTCTCAAAACAGGCCAGTCTGATGGAGGGATTTTCTCAATACAGGCCAATCTGATGGAGGCGTTTTTTCAAGTGAGGTTCCGTCTTCCCAGATAATTAGCTTATTTCAAGTTGACGGGAAAAAACTTAACCTGTACAGTTGGCTTTAGTGAGTGCTTTCTATAGTTAGAACAGCACCATATTATTGTTATAAAAACAAACCAGAGATGATGTACTCTAGTTAAATCCATGCCACAGAAAGGCTTGTTTTTCTTCAAGTACCAATTTAGAGGGTGACTCTTCTCTTTGGCGGTTTGAATAGAAGATGGCCATATAGATTCACATGTTTGGACAGCTGGTGGTGCAATTTGGGAACCAATGAAACCTTTAGGAGGTACAGTCTTGCTGGAGGAGACTTTGGGGTTTATAGTCTCTCTCCTCTGCCTGTCAGCTCTCTTTTTCCTGAGCTCAGACACAGCCCTCTACTCCTGCTTCCAGGCCTTACATGTCTGCTGCCCTATCTTTCCTATCACGACAGACCATACACCGCTGAAACCACAAGTCCCCCAAACACCTTTCTTCCATAAGCTGCTTCTGTTGTTGTTTTAGGGTTTTTATTTGTTTGTTTGTCTGTCTGTCAGGACATTTTATCAAAGCAACAGGAAAAACACTAACATACTCATTTTAGTCAATTTGAAGGTACAGAAAAACTCACTGGCTGTGTTAACTCTCACAACTTCCTTCCCCTGTTTATATCCCATAACTTCTTCCTTGTCCTTCATCTTAGAACATTAGATAAATCTCTATGATTTGGGGTCTTATAAAATGAAGTGTTGGGAGCCTGGAGAGATGGTTCAATAGTTAAAATCATTGGATGCTCTTGCGGAGGACCCAGGATTGATTTTTCAGCACCCACATGGGGTCTCACAACCCTCTGTAACCCCAGTCCCGGGAGATCAAATGCCGCTCTGGGCTCTGTGAGGACTGCATGCTTGTGGTGCACAGGTACCCATGCAGGCAAAACACTTATACACTGAAAATAAAAGTGAAATGCCTTAAATATAAGATGCTTTGCTGGGCTGTTGGTCATGCATTCATTTGATCCCAGCACTTGGAAAGCAGAGGCAGGTGGAGCTCTAGGAGTTCGAGGCCAGTCTGCTCGACAAAGCAAGTTTCAGTACAGCCAGAGCTACACAGAAAAATCCTGCCTCAAAAAAACAATAAAAACATCAAACAAACAAACAAACAACAACCAGAACCATTCAGTGGAAAGGCAGGGTAGGTTTATAACAATCTCTGCCCTGATGGGCAAGTCTTCCCAGTCCCCTCAGTCAGTCGCGCATTTGTTTCTTCCTCCTCTGTCCATAGTAGGTTTCCCTCCAGGAAAATCACACTGCACACTAGAAATCTTGGGAACAGGATTGGATAACATGTGTCTGGTTCATCAGTAAAATGTGCATTTTGTTTATTACTTTATTAAATATGTGATTGAAATAATCTCTGTGGACATATCCTCCTTAGAAGGAAAGCAGTTTTAAAAATGTAGACTAATAGTAAGCTTTAGAACTACAAGGGATAAAAATGATTTAAGTGCATTTTTGTGTCGCATTTCAAGAAGTCGTCATATTTTGTCTCTGAAAGTTTTAATAATTTTCTACTGTTGATTAATTACATGGGTGGAAGGTAAAAGTTCTGGGTGCAAAATCACATGAAAGAGAAAATTCTAATGAAGAAAAAAAGGAAAAATTAAAAAACAAATCCTTTACAGTTTGCTTGTTCCAATACTATAGAATTCTTGTCTCGTAATTTGATGGGATTGAAACAATAGATCAGAATAAAACAGCTTCAGAGCCCTTAGACTGCTCATACTGTGAGGGTGGCAGTAGTCTCTCCTTATAGAATTCTAGATACTATATTTAAATTCTAGAATGAAAACATAGACATGCTGCTCTTGCAGAGGACCTGGGTTCAGATCCCACTGTCCCCCAAATAGTGGCTGACAATCAACTATAACTCCAGTTACAGGGGATCTGATATCTTCTTCTGGCCCCTGAAGGCATTACATGCACATTGTATGCACATACATGCATGTAGTCAAAGCAACTATACACATGAAAAATTAAATATATTGACATTGTGAAAGTTCTTTTCTTTAATAATTCAACCTAATACTGCCCCTTTACCTGTCCTCTGTTGTCTCTTGAATTGTAGGTCAATAATTTTTTTTTTAGCATTTTGTTTTAAAATAAGTGGAATTAATCTAGATCAGGAAGGGTATTTCTTATTACCTAGAAGACACGGGAAGTTATTCTTTTCCTTTATGCTGAAATGCAGGCAAACTGTTTGCTTTTTCATTTATTATTTATTTAGTGGTGATGGAGATTGGAGGGATGGCCTTGTATATTCTAAGCACAGTCTCATAGGTTTGTCCCCATTCTCAGAATCTACAAAGCACAAAACTTATGCTTGAATGAATCCATCCCTTATCATTTTTTTTACAGTTGAGAATTTTTTATTGTTTAGTTTTACAGCTATTGTTGTCTATTTCCAATGCAAATTCACAGACTATAACTTTAATAATCCTAGAAGGAGATACACAAAGCAAGAACACCTCCTTTCTCACCCAAGTAAAAGTTTAAGGAAAACACAGATGAATCACACATTTCTGTATAATCCCTTATCATTTTTTTATAGAAACAGAGAAAGCAAAGCCTCAGTAGAGACTTCCTGCCAACTTTAACATACATACACATACAAAATAACGTGCAACCCAATCATAATCTGTCCATAATCATATATGTCACATACCTGGAGTGTAACCCCAGGGTTCATAGTATGATGGAAACACCCCAAGATGACAACCCCGGACAAACTCTTCATAATCCATGGGTAGTAGCGGGCTGGTGGAGGACAGGAATTCTGGGTGTAAAATCACCTAAAAAAGAAAGTTATAATGAAGAAAATGAAGCAAAGACAAAGTCCCTCTCTACTTTATTTCAGTCCTAGAGAATTCATGTGTTTGATGTTCACGGATAGAAGGGAAATAAGTTGTAAAGATCTTAGATCCTCCACCTCCCTCCACTCTGTAGCTCCAAGTCTGTGTTCTGCACTAACTTTGCCTTCATCTCCAAATCCTGGGTCACAGGGTGGAGAGGTCACACTCACATTCTCTGCTTTCACACCAAACTCTTCCCTTGAGCCTCCTCCAGCTTTGTTCCCCAATTGTTGATCCCTATCTGATTTGTGAGTTTGTTCCCAACTTGAGCAGGGAAGAGGGGATGGATCACCTGTGACCTACACATGAGTCAGCTGAGGGAGACAGACCTCAGGGGAGGGAAGGGGCTGGAACAGTCCTGCCCAGATTACACCATACCATCCCCTCTCACCTAGAGACTGTTGACACCTACCATAACTCGCTTTTATTCCCCAAGGCTCTCTAGTCCACACAACATGTGGAATGCCCTGCAAAGATGTTATTCATGTCTCTGCTCAGAAATCATGTTTGCCTCACAGAAAAAATACATGTACATAAAAGCCTGTGTGCTGTGGAGTGACGGTGTTCAGAACAAAAAAAAAGTCAAATCATAAATACCTACTTCTATGTAAAATATCGTCACTGTATGAATGCAGAGCACAAAAGTGTTTAGGATGCAAAGCTTCCTATATCATACTGTAATGATAAATACACATCATTGTTCATTTGTCCAAACTCAGGATTAATGAAGCCAAAGGTGAGCCCCAGTATGAAGACATTAGAGGGATAGCAATGTGCCAACTGAGACTCATCAGGTCCAGCAAACAGACCGTGCCACTAAGGATGCTACAGAAAGAACATGGTGCCTGGATGAGGCTCCCAGACAATGGAAACCAGAAAATGGCTCCTGAATTAAAGGCTATTAAAGTGTATATACAAGGCTGGGAAGATGAGGGAATACATAAAGGGCTGGCTGTACAAGCGTGCAGAACCCACATAGAAATCCGATGGTGGGATGGGGAGTTGGGTCAATAGCTCTGATGGTATTCATGCCTCTGCTCAAAAGTCACGCTTGCCTCAAAGAAAAAATACATGTACATAAAGGCCTGTGTGCAGTGGACACTAATTGTTCCACCAGAGGAATTGCGTTAGATTCCCAGAACCTACAGGGTGACTCAGAGCCATCTCTTCCAGTTTCAGAGTATCTGATGCCTTCTCTGGCCTTCTTGGGTACCAGGCATACGCATGGCACACAGCCATACATGCCAGGTACAGGTGTGTGTCACTAAGCCTGGCAACCCGAGCTTGATCCCCAAGAACCGAAGGCGGGAGGAGAAACTGACTGACCGTTGCCCTCTGACCTTGTCACGACTGCTGTGCCACTTTTTGTCCTCCACCACACACACAAAATAAATAATGAATAAACGTAATTTTAAAAATGAAATGCCACAAAAGAAAACGAAAAATACTTAAAAACATAACTCTTATCAGACTCCTTTCCCGAAGTAAGTTTTAGAGTATGTTTTGATCACTAAAAACTAGGTAATTTCCTTGTGCCTACTCTTAACAGTGTTCAGTTAACACAAATACTAGGATAAAGCTCAGAGCTGACAGAGATCTAAGAGTAATCATGTAAAGCAAGAAGCAGAATCAATCAATTTTTTAAAAATGTTTAAGTGTTTTTTACAGAAAACACAGAAAACAATGAAGAGCTTATGATAAATTCCCTCCAAAGTATATTCTACATAATTCTTTTGTTTGTATATGTGAGCGTGGCGATAGGTGTTCTAGTGTGTGCATGTGTGTTTTGATGTCCCTACATTTGTGCTGTTTTTAAGGAGTGCCCCATGTTACTTTTGAGGCAGGGTCTCTCTTTGGCCTGGAGCTCACCAATTAAGCCAGGCTAGTTTGCTAGTGAGCTCCAGAGATCCCATGGATTCCCTGAGCACTGGGTCTACCAGCGTTTGGCACCAGGCCAAGCTTGTACCCGAGTGCTGGAGGGTGACCTCAGGCTCAAGCACGGCCAGCATTTTACCAACTGAGCCTTTGCCTCAGCCTATTCTGTGCGATTCTGAAGTCGTTTATAACAAACCAATTAGTTCCACCTTGACTCTGTCTGCACGGTTGTTGAAAAGTCCGATCCGTCTAATGGTGCTGAGGATGGGGTCCGTGGAGTCATCAATCATGTTGTGAGTGGTGACAGGAGGCAGGGACTGTCTCTGCGGGAACAGGGGAAGAAAACGTCGGTGGTGAGAAACATGAAGAAGTGTGACTGACTCATCTCTGCAAAAGGCCACGGACATCTCGTGCTTCCTGTGGGTACTCAGCTGTCTAAGATGACGCTGGGTTTGATGATTAAGCTTTGTGTATTTCAGGGGAAGAGAAAGAGTTCCAGAATCTTCTTCACAGACCGTGAACAGA